TTTTGTGCATTCTTTATTCTTCATCATTACGTAACCTAAATGTTTGTAACCTAAACTTTGTTTCAATAAGTCACTACCTGTGTTAATTTTATCCATAAATTGATTTTACAGATAGTGAAAATGTTGACCAAGCACCAGTCAATGATTCTATACAACCACCAGGTTAGGCTTTTGTAAATGTCAAGTGCACTTTTTAAAACATATTAACATTTTACAATAGAAAAAAAATGTTATTGAATTATGAATTTCGAGGTGGATTTTTATGTGTGGTTTCAAAACCATTTTTTGTTAGCCTGAGATACATGTGTTTTTTAAATATATGCAATAAAGGTGCCTTTAAACATGGCGGTATTATTAACTATAATACCTCCATGCTTTAAAACAAAAACAAAGTGAATAAAAGAGAAAAGCAACAGGGCTTTTCGTTTTTGGGTCTTAGGCCCTATGCAACGTAACCTTTTGTGATGTAATATTTTGCTAGGTATTCTTGTTCATAACTGAAAGGACAAACTGTATCATTGTATTTTATTTTTTAGAGCTATTTGAATGAAATCACTACTCTGTCCTAGTTTCAATCTTAAATTCATTTTACAGATAGTAAGAAGATTGATCAAGAATCTGTTGTTTCCGACACTGAAAGCTTTGTTATATCACCACCAGGTAGGCCTTTGTATCCTCTAAAATACATTTTATGGTTTTTCTTTACCGATTGTAAGTGTTTTTTGTGCAAGTTATTTACATTTTACATTTACATATAGTTTTTTGCCGTAATTTAATTGTAAAATCTCAAAAATCTCTTTTCCTTTTTAAGTGTATTTTTAGTTTTAAATGATGTACAGTAATTTTAGCTGGCTATGGCCTGTCTGAGAAAACCAGGCAGGTGTGGGAGAATGAGGGTCGGCAAATTTTGCTTATATTTTGAGGTAGGCCAGTGTATGATTACCATACATAACATTTAAAATTTTCCTCGACCCCCCTGCAGTGAAATACCGCACCCCCCTAAAATATAGACCCGCGGATGCCACTATTTCAAGTGGTGAAAACTTAAATATATGCCATGTTCAGGAGAGGCAAAGATAAGGAAGAAAACTTTTGTTTGAATTTATATTATACATATGTAAATTCAATATATTTGTCTTTGAAAACAAAAACAAACGAAACAAAAAGAAGCATTGGGTCATTCCATTTTTCAGGGAAGAATTTGCCCTATTTTGCACTTTTGAAAAATTCTGCAAAATACAATATTTTCCCAATTTTTAAAAAATAGATTGCCAGAATCCCACAATCTCTACACGTCTAATTCTTTCTACAAATAAAGTTCAATTATAGGTTATTTGTAAACAAAAACAAAAAATCACGGAGACTTTTTGTCCATTTCAGATACCCTCCAGCAAAATGTGGCATTTTTTGAAAATTGGAAAAAACACAAATCCTGATTGGGTACGTAAAAGGTTTACATACTAACAGTATGATGTAGATTTAATAAACATTGTCAATGTACCATATTTATATGTAAATTATTCAATTTCCCATGATTCATGAATGGGTTATTCCATTATGACATAGGGGTGTTTAGTAAAACTTGTGAAATGAACTCTTAAATCAGTTTCCTGTGTTTGTTTACTATAAATATGATGTGAAAAAAGAACAAGAATGATAATCTGTTTTGATTTATCACCTGTTCAGTACAGGAAATATTAGAGAGTCATTGTTCTTTCAAAATCGCCATTTTTGATGGCTGAAAAGTTGTATGAGGTCGGGATCGAAAAAAAAACCACCTTTTATTCAATTAACGTTCTTTATTTATATTTTATATCAAAGGCAGGGCTCGAAATTCGCACTAGCAAACTAGCAATTTGCTAGTAGGTTTGTCATAATTGCTAGGTAAACATTCACAAACCAGCAAATAAAAAAAAATTATTGCTAGTTGAAATATCTATACAAAATATCTTGTAATTAGCCTAGTAAGTACAACAAATTAGGTAAAATAAAATATAAAAAGAAGGTTACAAAAACTAATACAAATTTTAAATGGAAAACTTAATCACATATAGAAAATAAAAATTGAATAAGTTATTTTAAAAATAAATTAATATATTATTCAATTTTTATTTTGTATCTGATTTTTTTTTTTTTTATTAAAAATGTTCTGAAACTGCAGTGAATAAATGTACAAGGTATAGAAATCAATTGCTTATACTCATTTGGCTATTTCTTTGTGATATTTATTTTACTACACTCACCATAACAGAAAATATTATATTACAACATTTAACACACAAATTTATAGAAGTACTTCATTAGTTGTTATTTTCATACAATGTATTTTCCAAAAATAATATGTTGGGTTGGTATCAATATATTTTACTAGTTGAGCAACTCATTTTGCAAGTTACATTTTTCACAACCAGCAAATGTTAGTAATAGGTTGCTAGTACCTAAAAAAGTAAATTTCTAGGCCTGAAAGGGTTGTAATTTTTCCCAAAAAATCAATAATTTAATATTTAGAATAGTAATTTACTTATTTTCCCTAACATGTTTTGTTTTGATAATGAAACAGAACGTTTAGAAATCCGTGATATTCTCTTTGGACAGCGAAATATTAGCCACCCAATTATGTATAGACAACACACAAAATAAAAAGTCAGTTTAAAATTATGTGATGAACATGACATTAAACCATTGGGTCCCAAGTCAAGGAAAGACAGCTTTGTTAAGCCACTTCAGTCATTCACTGAACATTGTGTTTGCTTTAAACATCAGATTGATCTATGTATTAATGCTGCTTAATGTTTCAGAAAGTATAAAAAATGTATATTTATCATATGGAAACGTTGTATCATTTGCTCTCCAAGGTCGCCTTAACCATTGGAGAAAACTGGATTTTTTTTCACAAAAGTACATTTTTGGTACAAAATCTATGATTTTCTTGTTAATGACCCAAGCGGATTATGATTACAGTTTTGTCGGAATACGCCGATTTATAACAGCTCCTCACGCCGATTTAGTAGATGGGGAATTTCAAGAAATTTGAAGTTTTAGGCTGTTCCGAGCTCGTTTCTTACTCCCTCACTCACAGAATTGGCCCCCAAGTGGATTCGTAGAGGGAATATAATAAGCTTGAAGCTGATATAAAACTTAGTATGATTGGTTGGGTAGTTTTATCGGAAAATAAGAAAATGTAAAATCCATCCAAAGCCACGATTGCCTCTCACAGGGTCAACAAATCTCTCAAGCATGATAGTCCGATTCACTGGTATGACGGCATACTTCTGTTTGCTTGATTTTTTGTGTTTGACTTCTTTCTTCATGGAATTTGGCCTAATTTAGTTATCAGTTGGATTTTTTGTGTGCTTTTATTACCTATATTAAAAAAACAAATGTCCCAATACAAGATACTTGCAGCAATTAGTTCATATTTCTAATATGATAATGATAATTAACTCTTTTTTAGCTTGAAGTCAATAGACTGGTGAAAATAAGTGGTGCAGATTTGATACCAGTATTTGATGCCAAAACAGTGCATGTTAAAATCAAGAGTGGTAAGTCAGAAAATATTTATTTTTTAATAATTATTATGGAATGATGGTGTTTATGATAGTGAATGGTTTTAAGTCTTCCACCCGTGTCCGTGCATTTGTGTACAAATTATCTCAAGTCCTGGCTTAGTGAAGCTACAGTAGAAATAATTAAAGGCGAGCTCTAGGTTTGAATTTCTCCCAATATAGATCCTTCATTATGATTAGTTACTTGCTGAAAGGAATTTCACAAGTGTTTGGAGCACAGTAGTGCAGAACGAGCGCTGCAAACTGCAGGGTCCCTAAATACAAGTGGTGGCATTACTCAAATTTGTATAGGGAAAATTTCTAAAATTTAGGCTCGTTAACACCTAAAGAAAACACATCCATTTTATCAATTCGTATGTAACTTTATCTGATCTTTTCATAAGGGTTTTATTTTAATGAAAATGCCTCATTTTTATATTAAATTAGAGCAGAACCCACTTTTTGTTTCAGTAATTAAAAGTCAGTCATATGGTTCAATCGTACTGAGCAATCACAAGATTTTGTCAACGGGGAAAATACATTGCGAGGGAAATAACTTGGCTGTCGTGGTTTCTAAATAGGACGTTGTTTCTGAATCAGTGTTATGTATACTGTAAATGTAAAAACGGTATTAAAGAGAAAAGACTATAAATGCATAGGCCTACAGTATATATACGTTTGAGCAAAATGGAATTCCTGCTTAGTAAAGACTGAAGCTTAAGGTTTGAATGCACAGCTGTTTAATCAGCACCACTAACACACACATATGGCCTAGGCCCTATCTGGCTTTGCCCTACATGTCGGATATGCACTATGGCCTATTTTTATTTTAGTATACAACTTAAATTTTTATATATTGTGCCTAATACTGAATGGTTAGTATTTACTAACAGAAACGTTAGGACATTATAATCAAACTGTTCTTTTCAGAGCAAAAATATTACCATCAACTGAGATTTCTAGCACAAGCCAGATGTAGTTTATTCTTTCACAATTTTTGCGTTTTTTTTCTTCTTCATATTTTTCATAGTTTTATACACTCACATATTCATTTGTTTTAGGGCTAGTCTAGGCTAGACCTCGGCTATCAGTGCCTTTTAGTATTACTATATTATTTAAATATACAATTTTAATAGATAAGATTAATTTAACATGGACATAGTAAATTCATACTTAAACAATACATTAAATTTATATATTTAAATAATAACGTTCGAATAAATAACAATAACTAAACCGTGTACATAGTGTATCACTACTACAATAATAAGATTAACATTTTCAATCTTATAATAAATTTTATACAGCCGGTGTTATGTATTGACCTAGGCTACTACGGCTAATGACAGGTACGCTTTCACTATTAAAGGCTTTTTCTATGAATCAAATGACCTGTACGAAACACGAGCTCCTGTAGACCAAACCCAGTACCGTTACGATTTTAATCGTACGGGAAATATCCTCAAGAGCAAATCCGATAGACCTAGCTCTCACTGGAAGTGGTCAACAAATGGTTTATTCAACATTATTTTGATAGTTCATTCTATTAAACAATGTATGCACAAATAACTTTGAAAGGCAATTACTCAAAATCATGTTTATCT